CACACACACACACACACACACACACACACACACACACACACACACACCACTCTAGGATTACAGGAGTACCCCACCGCATCCAGTTTTATGCAGTGTTGGGGATTCAATAGCTAAGCAGTCCCTCTACCGACTGAGCTTCATCCCCAGCCCGGTAAATTATTCCCTGCCCTGATTCCCAGTGCTTCTGAAAGGCAGTGCGACGGTGGTTTTCCTGAGCTGGCCAAGAGGACAGGTACCGCAGGCCATTAGCATTTGTCCCTTCCTGTGTGCCCCCCACAGCCTTCTCTCCCGCCATGGGCTCCGCAAGGCATTTACAGGTAATTTGCGGGTATAAAACCAGCTATTCTGTCTCCCAGGTCCACCTGGCCGGACAGGCAACCGTGGAAAACAAGGACCAAAGGGCAAAGCTGGGGCCATTGGACGGGCTGGCCCTCGCGGACCCAAGGGGGTCAGTGGTACCCCCGGGAAACATGGCGTACCAGGCAAGAAGGGACCCAAGGGCAAGAAAGGAGAACCCGGGCTCCCAGGCCCCTGCAGCTGTGGCAGTAGCCGTGCCAAGTCAGCCTTCTCGGTGGCGGTGACCAAGAGCTACCCACGGGAGCGATTGCCCATCAAGTTTGACAAGATTCTGATGAACGAGGGTGGCCACTACAACGCTTCCAGTGGCAAGTTCGTCTGCAGCGTGCCTGGGATCTACTACTTCACCTACGACATCACGCTGGCCAACAAACACCTGGCCATCGGCCTGGTGCACAATGGCCAGTACCGCATTCGGACTTTTGACGCCAACACCGGCAACCATGACGTGGCCTCGGGTTCCACCATCCTAGCTCTCAAGGAGGGTGACGAAGTCTGGCTGCAGATCTTCTACTCAGAGCAGAACGGACTCTTCTATGACCCTTACTGGACCGACAGCCTCTTCACGGGCTTCCTTATCTACGCTGACCAAGGAGACCCCAATGAGGTCTAGACAAGCCGGAGCTGAGCCTCCAGGCTGGGACTGAAATTCCTGGGGCGGGTGCTGATGGACAATGACCCATGGAACAGGGCTGGGGGGCTGGCACTTTTGGAAGCTTTTGTTTCCAGGCAAGCCTCCTCTGTTGCTGCTTTAAAAAAAAAAAAAAAATCATTAAATCCAAGCTTTTGATTCATCTGTCTGTCCACTCACTAATTAACTTAGTATCTATTGAACAGCAGATACTAAGGGCTGTACTCTGTGAGTTACATCCGCCAATGACAAGGCAGAGTGCCTATCCTCGTGGGAAACACAGTTCACAATTAAACAGCAAATAATATAACTATTCTTCAACATGGAAACGGGAATAAGGAAGTGGCTGGAATATTTATATGCAGAGTTCAATTCTTAGGTCTTCCTGCAAGCAGGCGTACACTCTAAGTGGAAAACTTAAGGATTTTTACCTACATGCATACCCTGTACCACTGAAGAGATCAAGGGCAAACAACTACCACTCCCCCTCCCCCACCCCTACCCCTACCCCCCATTCCATCTCCCACAGCTCTCTGGGACTCCTTAAAGACAGTCCAGCTGCTCTTCTGCTTACATTAGGGTTATGTCTGAAACACAGTACATTTAAATTATCGCTTAGTTGAAGAGACGTTCATCAGTGAGTCGTGGGGCCGGGCCACACAGCACATGGAAGGATAGTCGTTCACCCTAATGGGCTGCCCACTGCTGATGCTGCTCAGCATTGCAAGGGCCAGTGTCCTCCATACAGACAGTGAGGGGAAAGATCAAAATTCCGGGGAGTTTCTGCTGAGTGTGTGTTATTTTTGCACCATCATAAGGTCAAAACTTCCCAGGTGAAAGTATTGTAAATCAGAAACCATACGTGCATTGGAAATGCTGAGCGCTGAAGCAGGACACGGAGCAATGGGAGAGCTTGAAGGGGATGGTCCTCTGGCAAAATGACCGGCTTGCAGGTGCAAACCACCCCCCTCCACCCAGGGAAGAGCTGGGTGCACGTGAGGAACTTACTGGGGCCGAAAGAATTGGCAGGTTGAGAAGAAGAGACTCATGAGGCTGGGAGGTCACATAGAACCTCACAGGCTGTAGCCAAGTTTCTTCCATTTAGAAAGCTGATTTACCCTGAGGTAGCTTATGCCTGTAGCTCGAGCATTCAGCTGAGTCAGGAGGATTGCATTGGGTTCAAAGCCCTTCCTAGGCTAAAGGTGAAACTATCTCAAAACAGAAAAATATATATTATATATATTCATATATGTGAAATATTTCGTGTGCAGAGGGAGTGTGACATAGAGCCTTCTTGGAACATGAGTGCAGTCCATTAAGGACCCAGGCCAGTCATGTAGAGCAGGATATCCCTGCATGCCTAATGAAAGGAATGACTAACACTGCAAAGTGTGCCCTGGCCCAGGTGTTCTCAGAGCGCAAGGCTAAAGAAGCCTGAACGCACGAGGCCGGTGCTGTGAGCCCAAGAGCAATTCCTGGAGAAGTTTGTGTTCACTGCCCCCTGGTGGACACTCGTGGATAGCAAGTAATGCATGGGCTGGTGCTGGAAAGTTAATAAGGTTTATTTAGTCGTCCTCAGGGAGCCACAAATGGAATGGGATAGAGAAGGGTTTAACCAGGCAGGACTCTGTGGCCCAACCAGATCAAAAGGTGGGCAGGGGTTCCCTCCAGGGCCCCCGTGGGAGCCTCTGAGACGGACTGGCAGTTTGATTTGTGAACTACTTTTTTCCTTTCCTGTCTTAAAAAAAAAGTGTTAACCAGGCAGGATGGTGAGCACCTTTAATCCTAGCACTCAGGAGGCAGAAGCAGGTGGATCTCTGTGAATTGGAGGCCAGCCAGGGCTACACTGTGAGACCATAGCCCCTCGTCCTATCCCTGGCTGCTTCGTGAGGCCCCGGGATCCTGGACCTGTCTTTGGGTCTTCCCATCATGTAAGCACTGGAGAAGGCACAGAGCTTAATGCACCTTCAGTCCAAAGCTCTTCTCTCAGACCGTACACTCTGAAAGGCAGCTGTCCCTTTCTGAAGAACCCCACCTCTGAGCCCTACAGTGCAGACAGCTTCCAGCCCGTGCTGAGAGACAAACCTTAGGACCCTCCTGACGCATGCATAGTGTGCTCCATGCACCTAGGGGCTCTTCCTCTGCAGGCTTAGGATCAAAATTATGGCAGGAAGAGAATGAGGTGGCCATCTCATACACAGAATTTAAAAGGATGACCAAAGACTTAATACTCAAAACAGGTAATATTTTAGTACAGAATGTTAATAAATCAAAACTAAAGCAAAAACAACAAGCAAAATTCAAAGAGAGAGAGAGAGAGAGTTTTATAAGTACAGACTGCATCAGAGCTGCAATGGAGCCCACCCCAGCCCCCAGCCCCCAGCCCCAACCCACCTCCACCCCCTCGGCATTAGGAAGAAACCGCTTCTGTGTTGCATGTCATCCTCACTTGTGCCCCTAGGGGGAGCACGCTCATCACAAACCTCCAGTAAGCCACAGGCAGCTGGAAAAAACCAGCAGGCCCCTGCAGCAGGCAGTTTCTTAAGACTCAAGAGTCTAAGACAAAAGGGAGAGTCTCAGACCAGGGTTATAAGGTGGCCATCATCTTCTGATGAAAAAAAAAAAGAAAGAAAGAAACAGGATTAAAATCAGTCCCACTTTATTTCTAACATTTGCACTCAGGTCAGTGTTTTAAGAACCCTGTGTGTGGTAGAGACAGCCTAAGACAATGCGGGAGCAGCAGCTCTTGGAAAGCAAGACCGGGGCCCAGTCCTGAGTGCCTTTGGGTCCCTTTTGTGGTTTGGGTCATTAACATTTGTGGCTTCAGCCAAATGAAGGGCTGGGCCAGATGATCTCAGGACCAGTTTGGGTATCAAATGTTAATTTCTCTCTTCAAAGCAGAGTCGGGAAAAGAGATTCCTAAAACACACAGTAGCACCGCTGCAGAAATCAGCCAGCATGTTTAATCTCTATACTTGGGCCTCTGCTTCCACTGAAGACATGTGTGTGTGTGTGTGTGTGTGTGTGTGTGTGTGTGTGTGTGTTCATTCGAATATGTGCCATGCACACACTGAAGCCAGAGAGGGAGGTCAGGTCTGCTCCACCATTTTCCTTATCATTCCCTTGGGGGATCTGTGTTTAGGTCCTTGTACTTTCCTGGCCATTTCTCTTGCTCCCTGAACCCTCTTCCTACCCCTCAGGGACGACTTTTGTTTTAACCAATCGCTGTCAAGTTTCCTAAGCTACAACACAAATGGCGGTGACATTTACTGAACACCTGCTGTATGCTGCCTTTGACGTGTGTGGCCTCCTCCACAGCTCACGGTCCTGTGAGCAGGTTCCAAGATCACCAGCCTCACTTCTCAGACACAGGAAAGCAGCAGAGACCACAAGTGAGTGGGCCCGAGGACAGCAGGCCCTCTGTCTGCTCTCCGCCTCCCAATGGCAGGCAGCCAGACAAAACAGAATTGTCTTGCCTTTGAAGCATTGCTAGGTAGGAGAGAGTTGGGTCTAACTATCTCCCATCCCTAAAGTGGGATCTGGTCTGGTCCAAGGATGGTTTCACTTCAATTCAGCAGATGTTCTAGGTACTTGCTGAGGGGTGGCTGGGAGGCACCAGGGTCCTCGGGTCAGACCAGGGCATTAAAGCTGTCTGGTAAAGCCTACCCACGCTTTCAGAGCGGAGTCTGCCGAGAGTGGATTGCCCCACAGTGGAACCTTCTGATTCCATAGTCTGAGGGTCATGGGCCCAGCTCCTTGCCCATGGGTTCTGAGGGCAGGAGACCATGAGTTAGCGTGGCGCTCTCAATCTTCAATAGCCACTCCCGCTCCCTGCTGTAGAGACAGAAGCCTAAAAAAAAACTTTCCAGAAAAGGCCACAGATGGCTCTGGGCAAACGGCTTTCTCCCCTGCCTCTCTCCACCCCCACTTAAGACGTTCTTCATCTACTGCATACTTTTGTTCTCACAGTAGCATTAATTTATAAACAAGGTCATCACTGATGCCTTTCTTCATAACCATGGCAGGTCCTGTGTCTGCCTCACGTGGAATCTTCCAGCCAAGGCTGACAACTCTCCAATGTGGTTTCCTAGTGTGAACCATTTAGTAGACAATTATAACGACACACAGAGGTCTCAGAGGTCAAAGGCTATCCAACACATTCACTCCAGATGCTGGATCATTTTCCCAGCTGATCACCATCCCTCGGCTAAGCTGTATAGGCAAATGGCTTCCACAACTCCCTACACTGTCCAGTACCAAGTCCTGTTCACCTTGAACCCCTCCAGGGACTCGGGAAAAGCTTGCCTGTCATAAGGATGGAAGAAAAATCAGAGTCCTGTGGACTCCCACACCCACAGCTCCTCCGGGGTGGTCTAGGGATAGAAGGTGACAGTTGCTCTGAGGATCTCTGGAGAGTAGCCCCTAAGCAGCTGCTAGACTTTGCCAAGTTCGCATATTCAACAAATACTTATTGAACTGCAGCTATGTGCCAAGCTTCACATTAGGTACCAAGAACCCTGTGGTGAGCTTAGGACCTAACACAGGTGACAGACACTGGCTAAACATCCTCCCAGATAAAAGCGAAATGTCTCCGAGAAGCAAGATGAGGATTTGCCTGACGAGGTGTGAGGTACAGCTTCATGGGTAGAGTCACGACAGAGCTGAAGAGAAAGTGGGCGTTAGGCAGGGGGAAGCCAGGTAGAAAGGGCGTTTGTTGGGGGAATAGACATTCGAAAGTCCTGTGGGAGACAGAGCAGGGCAGGTGGAAGGAATCAAAGACACCCGCCCCCTCTCTCACGGGGGTGGAGCAAGATGAGAAACAGAAGCAGCTGAGCCGAGAACTTCAAAGACTTCAAAGGCTAGGGTGGCAAATGAAAGGCACGCGCCTTGACCCTGAGAGCAGTGGAAAGCCATAGACTGTTGATCTTAACGTGGGCAGAGCTCCGTGTGGGTTTTGAGGCCACTCCTGTAGCCGTAGGAACAGTTCAACCTGACCTGAGGCAGGACTGGGCCCCGGGAACGCCAGATCAATCAAGACCGGTCACTGTTGGAGTTCTCCATAGCTCCGAGTTGCGCATGAGCGCCTCTGCGCTAGGCCTCACTCAAAAGCAGATCAGAGTCAGATGGTGGAGCGTGAAAAAGCCATCACACCTCAGGCCTCCG